GGAAGGAAGGAAAGAAGGAAGATGAGCAAATTAAAATGAGGGGAGGGAAGGAAGGAAGGAAAGAAGGAAGATGAACAAGTTAAAATGAGGGGAGGGAAGGAAGGAAGAAAGGAAAGAAGGAAGGAAGATGAGCAAATTAAAAATGAGAGGAGGGAAGGAAGGAAAGAAGGAAGATGAACAAGTTAAAAATAAGTGGAGAGAAGAAGGAAGATGAGCAAGTTAAAAATGAGGGAAGGAAGGAAGGAGGCAAGAAAGAGAAGGAAGGAAAGAAAGAAAGAATGGAGGGAGGGAGGAACTGAGACGCCTGCTCCATCCTAGCTTCAAACAGGCATGAAGTAGATTGAGGGGAGGTTTGTCATAACTCTGAATGGGTGCTAAGCGACCAGCCGTTAGGTCAAGGACGTATCCTGAAACCCGAGGCAGCCCTGGCCCATCCAGGACAGTCGAGAGAGCCGAGAACCGCTCCTTATGGACCAAGGGCTTCCCAGGGGGGCCTCGTCTCCTCCCGGGGGGGTGGGGGGTGGAGGGGCACGCACTCACCTCCCGCACAAGGTCCTGCTCCAGATTATGGCGCGCCAGCAGCATCCTCCTCTTGAACCGCCGGCACTCCAGCTCCAGGTATTGCCTCTGGCGCCGCAGCAGGTTGGCCTCTTCCTCCGCCTGGAAGTGCTGGATGTTCTCCTTCTGCTTCGACAGCCACTCCTGCTTCTCCTTCTTGGGGGTGCTCTGGTTCTCGCTCAGCTCCTGGGAACAAGGGACCCCCGGAATGAGGAGCTCTGGGAGTGGGAAGTCCACACCAGGGGGGGCTGAGGGGCTCTGGAAGTCCACGCGGGATGGGATGGAATACAGCAGGGATGGCAAACCTGTTTGGCACCAAGTGCCCCAAAAGGGAACACTTTTACGTGTGCGTATGTCTGGGCCACAACAAGGAAGAGGAGGGGGGTCGGGAAGCATGCGCGCGCCGGAAAATGAACTTCGGTTTCTGGCACTGGCATCGGACAGCAAGTCTTCCTTTTTTTTGGGAAATATACTTTTTTATTTTCCATTTTCATAACATACAATCACATGTATACTATTACGTAGCCAATATCCTATTGTAATTACATCAGTTCCTCTTGTCATCAACGCCCAGAAAGATAAAAACCCATTATTGGCTCTTCT